GTATTAGGCAGTTAATCATGGATCAAACACTATTTCAATATGGAGCAAACATGAAACACTCAACATGGCAATCTCAGTAAGACAAAATGTGACCATTGTACTTGAGAAACAGCACTGCTTCACAGTCATTATTTACTTAACAGTTTGAATTCCACATTCACAGTGACTGTCATGACACTTCATTTAGATCTAGTTTCTGAAAACTTTTTCCCCACTATTTCCAAACAAAATATTCTTCCCCGGTCAAGTCTTTATGTTCGTTCTTTCCCCCAATTATCTGATTCTCACTTCCTAATCTTGGTTTTATTATTCCCAGTAACTGAATTGTCCTTATCTCTCACCTCTGCTCTGTGTAAAAATATACAGCTGTGGTCTTTGGACTGAGGTAATCAAATCACACCCCCACAATTCCCGACTCTTATTATCTTGGGACAGAGGTTTGTTTTCTGGAAGCCTCAATTTTCTTATCTAAAAATCTGGGTGGGGTGCAAACACTATTTCCCCAGTGCTGCTTGGCTAGTTAAACAACCATTAATTACAGTGATTAAGGACAAACTCTATCATCAAATCATTAACGTCCTCTAGTACCTATCTAAACACCTTCACCGTGCAGTGTCTGGGAGAACTTCCTGTTACCTGTGTGAAATCGTCCTGTTTGCTTCAGATCATATTAAATTCTCCCATTTATGATACAGTTTCTTTCCATATTTATGCCTTATCAGCCGCAGATTATATTAAACTCCTTAAAGGACTGAGCCCTACCTTCCCCAATGATGTTCTCCATATATCCTCCCACAGTGCTGGGATGGGCAGCTAACTGCACTCCACACAGAGCCCAGGATTGAGTGAGGGCCACTTGTGCCAGGCAGGTCTCTGGACCACTGGTACTTAGTATTCTTAATAAAATGGAGATAACATTTTGTCTTGTTTAACATAGAGAAAATTATAAGCATTTTTAAAACAGTGTGAGGTAACAGGATACTGCCTTCCTTCAAGACCATTTACTCTCATTCATGTTTAGACAATGATTTTATACATAAAATGTTAAAAATTCACAATAAATCTAGGTAATATGAGTGAAACAGATGAGTTAATGGTATAGATGAGGAAACTGAGCCTAGACAGGATAAATAACTCATTCAACATCTCAAGAAACTAATAAAGTACAATGAATCAAGGGTGATTTTACACCAAATCTGGGAAGATGGAAGCATTTTTCTTTTTGGGAAAAAGAAAATAAATCTATTTTTGGTCATTCCACTCACTAACATACATTCAATAAATCTGTTTCAAAGTATATATACTGATAAATAGAAAGGTGATAGCTGTAAAGTTGGGTCTCTTCCCAGAGTTTCTAAGGGCGCAGTGGGGCTAACAGAAGCATTTCACAGCTGCTGTGCACCCACACTGTTACCCTAATGACAAAGCTAAATTATCAGCAGACTAGGATTTCAGAAATCCAATATGAGTCCAGACCTTAATTTTTAAGTCTTCACTTGTCTTTTGAAACACCACCTATCATTTAGCCCATCATTCATTTATTTTGTGATCATTATATCTGAATTCAAATTATATACTGAATTCAAGTACCTAGCCTAAGAAGATGGTTATGATCTTTGGATCCAATTCTAATCCTAATTTTTGTCATTATAAGAGCCACATTTCTTCTTTGGTCTTACCAGATCCACACACGCTGGAGTGGTCCCCAGGGGGAAAAAAAAAGAGAAATGAAATTCCTATCCTTTTCTTTTTTTAGATTCATTCTTTGCTTTACTTTTTTTTGCCTTCAGGTTTTTTTTTTAATTAAATCATAAACACATAAATCATGTATACATTAATGTATTTATTGGGTACAGTGTGCTGATTTCATGGTTTATATCTACCTCATCTCATTTGCTTATTGTGTTGAGACATTTATACTCTGTCCTAATAGATCCAACATGGACCTTTGCATTATGCACCATGTGTGTGATCCTACTATTCACCCTCCCTCGATCTGACCTGCTCCCTCCCTTGCCATCTCCCCTCCTCCCTCCTTCATCTTGGCCATCATTGTGATGTATTCTTCATATGAAAGTGTGAGTGATTGTAAATTGGTTTCATAATAGTACTGAGTACATTGGACATTTTTTCTTCCATTCTGCAATCTTCTAAGAATATTTTTAAGTGCTAAAAACTCTTAATGTGAAGTATTTTGTATGCATTTAGTGAGAATAGGGGTCTTTCCTAGTATAATGGAACTTCCATTAGGGAAAGACATTTTGTCTGTTTTGACCATTCCTCTCTCTCGAGCATCTGTGCTAGTGTGCGGCTCATAGAGTCTACCCTCAGCAAATAACTCTAACGGCTGTGTTATGTTGGATGAATTAAGGACGTGAATTAGGGTTGTTACATTTGCACATGCAATAATAGTTACTGAGGTGCTTCCTTTGTGCCAGATACTATTGTAACAACTTTTGTCGATTCATTAATTACTCACAATAACACTACAAGGTAGAAATTTTCATTAAATCTATTTGGCAGATTGCAAAACTGAGACACAGTTAAGTTCCTTGCTTGAAATCAGCAGTTAAAAGGTTAGTTCAACTATTCTGACGTTAAAGTCTGTGCAGTGTTCCTTAAAATGGAACCATTTAAAGAGAAAGACCATTACGTTAAAAATTTTATTTTCTCTTCTGAACTGCAAAAGGACTTCACATGGACACACACCCTTCCTGTGTTTGGAGACAGTGTTTGGATGAAATTCTCACAATGGAAAAGAATTTAGAAGTTTTATTATAGCTCATACTCATTAGCATGGCCACTATCAAAAGAATAAAAAATAACAAGTATTGGTGTGAATGTGGAGAAACTGGAGCCTGTACATTGTATACAGGAGTGTAAAATGGTACAGCTGCTATGAAAAACAAGATAGTGCTTCCACAGAAAATGAAAAATAAAATTACCTTATTACCTGGCAATTCATCTTCTGGGTATGTATCTGAAACGATGGAAAACAGAGTCTCAAAGCTGTATGTGGGCAGCCACATTTACAACAGCATTATTCACAATAGCCAAAAGGTGGGCGTAACCTGTGTTCACTGTTGAATGGGTAAACATGTTGTACACACATAAAACAGAATATTATTCAGCCTTAAAAACAAAAGAATGATGACCCATGCTACCACATGGATCAAACTTGAGAACATTGTACTAAGTGAAATAAATTAGTCACCAAAGGAAAATCACTACATGTTTCCACTTATTTGAGGCCCAAGAGTAGTCAAATTCATGGAGACAGAAAGTTGAGTGGTTGTTGCCCAGGGCTGGTAGAAGACAACAGCGAGGAGGTACTGCTCAATGTTTCAGTTTTCTGAGGTGAAAGCTTTGGAAGACAGATGGTGGTGATCACAACAGTATGAATCCACTCAGTGCCACAGGACAGTGAAAATGGTTAAGATGGTATATTTTAAATTTGTTATATGTATTTGATTACAGTGTTTATAAAAGAAATATTCATATTTGATTTACATGGAAAACTGTCCTTCACTCTAGTTTGACTTCCTGTTTAAACTTCAGTCTGCTGAAGATTCTTTAATGCATGTATTTGATTCTCTGTGTGCTTTTTCTTCTTTATTTTTATTTCTCACCTCCCAAGGAAAGATGAAGCAAACTTTGACAGGCACAGTTCCTATTACCATCTAAGTTTCAGTGCCCTGAAAATAATTTAGGAAATGGCAACAATGAAAACCTTTTAAGGAAATAATAATTACAAATAACATAATTAATGTAATTATAATTGATACTTCAATATTATAATTAATAGTAATATAAGTAATATAACACATCAATATTAATTAGGAAATATATTTTTAAATTTCAGAATATCAGGGGGGCACACATTTTGTTTTGTACAGACTGAGTCAAAGTTGTAAGTGTTCCCTGCATCCAGGTAGTGTTTACTGTCTCCAGTAGGTGTGAAGTTACCCATCCCCTCCACCCTCTCCTTCCTTCAGCATTTTCACTGAGATTTACTTCCATATGTGCACTTAACTGTTGACTGGTAAGTTCAAATGTGGTATTGTGTACACGTGCTTGTTTTTCCATTCCCATGATGTTTCACTTAGAAGAATGGTTTCTAGTTCCATTCAGGTTGTCACAAGGTACTAGATCACCATTTCCTTTCATGGCTGAGTAGTACTCCATAGTATGTGTACCACATTTTATTAATCTGTTCGTGTACTGGTGGGCACTTGAGATGTTTCCATATCTTTGTGATTGTTGATTGTGTGTTCTTATAAACAGTTGAGTGCAGGTGTCCTTTTTATAAAAATGATCTTTTCTTCTTTGGGTCTTGCCTCCTACTCAGAAGTAGGAGGAAATAATTATAAAATATGTAAATGTAATCATTGTTTCTCAGTCTGTGCACACACCCTGTTAACAAAAGTAGGGCCACCTTGCCTGCAGTTCAACCATACACCCAACACCTGTGTGAGGAGCCATGGCTGGTGAGTCTTTCCCAGTATGAGGAGAAAAGTCTTGACAGGAATTAGTTTGGGAAAGAATTGCCTTTCTCATTAGTTTTGGTGAGGATTTATGTGAGCAGCGTTTAGGGAGAGGGACAAAAGGAAAGAGAAGGAGGGAGGGAAGAAGCTCAGCCAGGATTTTGCTGCACTTTTGAAGGAAAAATAATGCCAGGAGGATCCCGGGACTCTATGGTCTCTGCTGCAATTTTGTTGGAGTCTTCTCTGAATCTAAAGAGGTATAAGTTAGTTGAGGGTGAGAATGGGCATAGGATGGGTATTAGCGACTGTTACTTCCAGAGGGAACAACCTGTTGACCCCTTGCAGAGTTCAAAAAATTAGGCTGTGTTAGAACAGAATGAATTCATATTTCCAGGTGGTTAATAGAAAAATCATGGAATCAGGTGTTCTAGGTCACTCAATAAGCATATGTAGGATCAGAATTACGACAAGTAGGTACCTCAAGATGCAAAGGGATGATCTCATTTCCTGAGACTAATGTACATTGTGAAGAACGATTGGCTGGGAAAGATTAAAATGATTGCTTCTCTGTTGGTGAATTGCTATGATAATTACTTAAAGAATCTTTGTGTTTCCAATAGACCAAGTCCTGGTTTTTTTATCCATTTGTTTATCCATTCAGTGAGCGAAGGTATAATAAATTGTTTGCTGGATGACCTACTTGAGGATAAAGTGATAAATCAGGAGGAGATGTGCAAAGTGAAATATGAAAATCACACAGTCATGGATAAGGCTCGAGTCTTGATTGACATTGTCATTGGGAAAGGGCCTGGAGCTTCTAGATCATTTATCAAACATCTCCATCAAGAAGACCATGAACTTGCACGGAAGTTGCATCTGCCCTCAGGTAAGGCTGAACAGATCAACCTAATGTCAGCTAGTCCCTGTGTCCTGAGCCCTTCATTTATCTTTCAGTTTAGAAAAGGCTTCCTGGCGTCCGGTTCTCAGACTCCACATCTTTTGTCTCTACTCCTCTGTGTCCTTTGTTCCTTTTCCCTCAGCACCCTCTGCTGACCACAGCTCATCTTGGGTTCTGGGTCAGTAGTAGCTTATTATAGTTTATCTGAAGAGTCCAGATGTCTTCATTCTAATTCCTCTGATGCTTCCAGATAGCAGTGTACAATATCACTCTTCCTGGAGCCTGAAAAGCCCATATGATCTTCGGAAGAGAAGACACGAGCTCCTTTTATGCCTACCACTCTACTCCCACCCCATCTCTCTATTAAGTGCTTTTCTAGATATATAATCATTGTGGAATTGTCAGTGAACAACTTGAAATGAACATTAAATGTGAATTAAATAATTGCATTTGCACTAAATCATATGTGGATTCTGTGAGCTAGTCAACTTTTCTGCTTTTTATTTTGTGTAATGTGGTCTCCTTTCATAGTCCCAGTCTGCATCCTATGTCATTTTATTTCTAGTCCCATTAAGAGCCCTTAAGAGCCCAGATTAAATTTATGATGTGGAAGCTGGCCTATTCCGTAACCCTTTGTTCTCTCCACAGTGTGCACATGAACTATCTGGTGGACTACCAACACCTATCAAAAAAAACTAAGATGTCCCTGTGAGAGAAAACAACCCACCAGCAAAAATAAAATTATATTAACATCATAAGGTGTTGTTGCAGAAATTTCTTTCTAAGGTAGGTTCCTGATCTTAGGGTTTGAAGAATGCAACCAATGACCACATGGTAAGCTATAGGATAGTTTATTGACAGGGAGAAAGACTGACCACAAGAGGGAAGAATTGAAGAGGGAAGCACCATCTCCACCTCCTAGTCTTCAGTCTAGGGGGTTTATGCTGCTTTTCTTTTTTTTAAACTTAATTTTTGTTAAATCATAACCATATACGTTTATGGGGTACAATGTGATGATTTAATATACAACGTGGAATGCTTAAATCTAACTGATTAACATAACTATCACTTCACTTATTTTTCGTGGTAAGACATTTATAATATACTTAGTTGTTGTGAAATGAACCCTTGCATTGTGCACATTAGGTGAGATCCCAATAATTATGCTCCCTCCACTCTCTCTCCCCACGTCCCTCTTTTCTCCCCCACCCCCTTTCTGGACTATATTTGTGTTTTGTCATTCATAAGAATGTGTGAAGGATTACATATTGGTTTCATAATAGCATTGAGTACATTGGATAAATTTCTTCTATTCTTGAGATACTTTACTAAGAAGAATATGTTCCAGCTCTGCTGCGCGGCACCCATAGCACAGTGGTTATGGCGCCAGGCACATTCATGGAGACTGGCGGGTTTGAACCCAGCCTGGGCCAGCTAAACAACAATGACAACTGCAACAACACAAAAAATTATCTGGGCATTGTAGCAGGCACCTGTGGTCCCAGCTACTTGGGAGGCTGAAGCAAAAGAATTGCTTAAGCCCAAGAGTTTGAAGTTGCTGTGAGCTGTGATGCCAGAGCACTCTACCCAGGGTGACATAGTGAGACTCTGTCTTAAAGTAAGAGCAATTCCTACACCAGTAACTAAGGCTCTTAACCAGCCTGAATTAGGTAATCAAGAGAATAAGTTATAACATTACATTTCTTTAAATTCTGCATATCTATGATTATGTTCCACCTACTTCTGTTCACCCTCTTTTACTCCATCATACTTACCAGTCTTTCTCCCTGTCAATAAATAGTATCCTGTCTTAAAACAACAACAACAACAACAAAAAAAAACACTATCCACATAGAGTCCTCGAAAGAACTAAATGAGCTTGTGAAAGTCTAAGCCCAAAGCTGGCTAACAAGAGAGCAAGTCACAATGCTGCCTGCATGTGTAATGATTTTATTGCTGCCTTTATCCATAGAGACACAGAGTCATAACAAAAAGTTCAGGGAATAAGAATCATAACCCACATTACAGAGATCACAGATATTTTCCTTTAACTCTATGTATAGTATAAAACGTGTAAATAATCAAATCAAACCTGTCTGGTCCATCTAATTAAACGAGGATGAGAGTGGCTCAGGGTGTCCTGGCCTTCAGCGAAGCTGTTAGCCAGGGTTAGGGGTAGGTTTAGCCAATTAGAGGCTCTGGGTGTGGGCACTTCCTATTGGGTGGGTGGCAGCAAATTAGCAGGGATGTAGGAAAGAGTAGCTCATTCCCAGCTGCTCCTTACTGCCTAACCTGACCCAATCCCTGCATCCCAGAAGTAGCTCAGCCCAAGTGTTGTCAATCTGCCCTGGCTAACATAAATCTAAATCCAACAGTACAATCTAAGAAAATACATTCCTCATTCCCGCTTTCCTCAACCAGATGATCATCTGTAAATCCCTCTTATGAAAATATTTTGGAGCCACTACTGTTGTAGCCAGACAGTTTAGGGGGAAAAATGTCATACCCCTATCTAAGCATAACCATAGCTGCCACTTCTTATCATTTAAGATGGCCTAGAAGGGTTCCTGTCCACAGCCTGTTTATCTGCCTGGAGCTCTTAATAGCTTGGGCTAAGTCCTCTGCTCACACTCAGACCTCATTTCCTTCTCTGCACTTCCCCTATAGCATTCTGTCTTCTCTCATCAGAGTGCTCTTCTCCTCAACTTGTCACCCAACAAAGAGGGGCTGGCCAGGGTTAGGGTTAGGTTTAGCCAATTGGCTGTCACTGTCAGCCAATATGTAAAGATGGGGCTAGGTCCACCAAACTTTATTTGTCAGAAGGCAGGTTGCTTGTGTGGAGATGGTCGTGGTGGCTCATATGATCCTAGAACTCTGGGAGGCCGAGGTGGGTGGATTGCCTGAGCTCATGGGTTCAAGAGCAGCCTGAGCAAGAGTGAGACCCTTGTCTCTAAAAAATAGCCAGACATTGTGGTGGGTGCCTGTTGTCCCAGGTACTCAGGAGGCTGAAACAAGAGAATTGCTTAAACCTAAGAGTTTGAGGTTGCTGTTGAGCTATGACACGAGAGCACTCTACAGAGGGCAACATAGTAAGATACTCTGTCTCAGAAAAAATAAGAAAGGCCAGGCAGTGCCTGTGGCTCAAAGGAGTAGGGCACCCGCCCCATATCCTGAAGGTGGTGGGTTCAAAACCCAGCCCCAGCTGAAAACCACAAATAAATAAGTAAATAAAGCTGGGCTTCTAGAGAATATTGAGAGTAGCCTCTCCAAGACTGTTCTGTGCTTCCATTTCCAAAATCAGTTTTGTACATAAAAGTTCACAGCAAAGGCTGCATTAACCCTTCTTTTACATAATAATCAGCATAGCATCAGTGGCCTATTACAACAATCCATTTCAGAAGGTAATCTCCTAAATCGATTCACCTAAAGTACTCAAGATAAGTGTCTTTAGGGTGGGAGCTAAATTTACAAAACAGTAAGAATGGGAGACAGGAGTGAAGGCCACTTAGGATCTAAATTGACCAGACCGTGTCAGGCCGGCCCTAGCCTGACCGACTCCATCTTATTCTCACTACATGTGCTTTCCAAGTCCTCTCCAACCTTCTACATTCCACTCGCATGTCACTGCTCCGCGGAAGCAGTCCCTGGCACTGAGCAGCTTCTGTTCCTCTGATCCTCTGCTCTTCTGATAACTGCCAGCATTCAGAGGGTCTTTACTGTGTGCCAGCATTTAGTATCCTCTCATTTAATCTTCACATCAACCTTAAATTACTCCAGTTACTGTCCCCACTTTTCAGAGGCAACTTTCCCAATTCCATAAGGCTGATAAAAGGGGGCTGAGACACTAATGCTTGTGTTCTCAAAACATCAATACACGCCATATACTATGGGTAAGGCCATGTACTTCCTGATCATACCCACAACACATACATTGGAGGAGGTTTTAAGTTTTTAAAACAATTTAATATGTTTATGTGTATAATACTCCTATCCTGAATGAGATAAATATCTCCAAGAGGATATTGGCCATTATGTCAATTTTTGTTGACTATGTTAACCCCAGTGATGAGCAAAACCTGGATATCAGAGACACCTTAATAAATATGTCTTAAAATTTTTTGAATATTTTTTATAATTTTTGTCAGTAAGTTTGTTGATTTTCACAAATATCTATGATTCTGAGATGAAGGAGATATTTCTATTAACTGCCTTTTCCCGAAAGCAGAGTAAACATCTTTGTGAGTTGCACAACTTCTCTCTCCCTGACCTCTCAATGTTCCTAATCTCTAAACTTGTTCCTCTGAGTAATTTCATTTACTTATCTTAGACATGGTGCTGGAGGTATATACCCTACGATTGGGTGAAAACAGAATTATATAGCTACTTTCTTCTGTGATAAATTTTTGCAAGGCTGAGTTCCCAGTAGAGAAGGCTTTCTGTCATACTTTTCCCCCCTCCCCCTCCCGCTAGTTAGCTCTGGGCTGGACAGCTTCATGTTGAAAGTAACTCATATTGTGGTGCTCAGTTTTGTAGTCATGAAGACATGTCCATCTCAAGAAATGAGTTTTTTTGTTTTTTTGTTTGTTTGTTTGTTTGTTTTGAGACAGAGCCTCAAGCTGTCCCCCTGGGTAGAGTGCCATGGCATCACAGCTCACAGCAATCTCTAACTCCTGGGCTCAAGCGAGTCTCCTGCCTCCGCCTCCCAAGTTGCTGGGACCACAGGCGCCCGCCACAACGCCCGGCTATTTTTTGGTTGCAGCCGTCATTGTTGTTTGGTGGGTCCGGGCTGGGGATTCGAACCCGCCACCTTAGGTGTACGTGGCTGGCGCCTTAGCTGGTTGAGCTATAGGCGCCGAGCCGAAATGAGTTTTATTTTAAGACATCAATCAGCAAGTCCTATTGTTTCCAGAAAGTCACACCTTGAAATGCAGGATCTGCCAGGCTATAGAAAAAAAAAAATGACAGCAACAAATACCCAGTGTATTTGGGAAAATAATCTGTAGTATAGGTAAGTGACAATGTAATGAGAGTTCATTTTTCTATGAAAGTGCTTCCAAAGCAAGTACATCCTGGAAGCCCATCTGCTTGGATATTAACCACTGACCAACAAAGTTAATTAAGTGGCAAGAGCACAGTGAAGCTTTGATTCTGAGCCTCACCCAGAGATGCTCTCTGTGAACCGTATCATCCATTTCTATGGCTTTACGTTGTGTCTAAAAACTACTTTTTCCTACATAAAATTTCAAGTCCAAACCATTCCTCCCAAGTTACCAACATATGTCTTGAGCTTCCTAAACATATTTTGGTTTTTTTAGAAATGGGGTCTTGCTATATTGCCTAGGCTGGTCTCAAACACCTGGCCTCAAGAGATCCTCCCACCTCAACCTTCTTGGAAGCTGAGAGAACAGTCATAAGCCACCACACCCAGTCCACTATGCAATATATCCATGTAACAAAACTGCACTTGTACCCCTTAAATTAAAAAAAAAGTGAATTGTACTGAATGTAAATTATATTTCAATGAAGCTGATATTAAAAAAAAGTTAGCTTACCATTTTTAGGGAAAAAAATGATAATTATATGCAACCAAGGTGTTATAATTAAAAACGAACTTAATTCGGGCAGCACCTGTGGCTCAAAGGAGTAGGGCGCCAGCCCC